AAATGCACATATTTTTTTTTACCTCCAAAAAAAAAAATGTGCATTTATTATTTTGTCTAAAAGGTGTACGTATCCTTTAACCCCAACCATAGTTTTTCACTGCAGTCTCTGTACTTGTTAGGATGACACTTCCTGTTCTGATGAATAACCAGTAGGAGTAGACATCTAAGTGATAGGGATGCAGGCAGTGGTTCTCATCCTCCCTTACATGTCTGTGCCTCAGTGGAGGAATTTATACATTCTATGGGCACAGAATGGTAGCAACACGGCTAGAGAAAAAAAAAATGATGGACTTTGAGCCATAAGAAAAAAAAAAGTTTGGGCTGGATGAAGTTCCATTTTAAGTGTTAAAGGCAGGCATTATTTTAGACACTATCTTAAAGTATAACTAAAGGCAAAGTTTTTTTTAGTTTTGGACAGTGGAGGTGGATTAGATTTTTATTGCTGTCTGTGCCCCCATTAGGGAGGGTCACCCTCTATTGGTTCTGTTTGCCACGGTTATAAAATGTGAAAGTAAATGAAACCCCAAATTTTGGGTTATCCCCAGAAAAGTAATAGAGAGGAAATTTTCCAATGGGGACACTAGCGCTGGTGATCTAGGAGTCTCCATGGAATTTCCTTAATATTCAGGGATTTTTTTCCCTCAATTTCTGTTTTGGTGAATGGGGCAGGAAGTGAAGGTAAATCTTCCCAATGGACACATACGGCAAAACAAACTGATTGGTTAGACCCCTCCCCTTACTCCAAAATTGGGGGGGGGAAAAAAAAAACACTTTTGCCTATAGTTCTACTTTAAGTGTTGTGATTAGGGAGAGGTTTGAGGGTTCAGTTTAAGGTGAAGTGCTGGAAGAGGGGGATTAAATGTTAAAGATCTATTGTATGGGTTCAGGTATAGGGAACGTTTAATGGTTAGGTCAGCATTATTGTTACTTGTACCTAGGGGACACTGGTTCTTTGTTTTAGTACCAAATGCCCCCATACCAAGACATCCCCCTAAAATAGCAGCCTCACGTCCAGTTCAGCTGACCTTTATTCCTACAGATACTTTTATAGAGGGCTTGACACTAAACAGTAATCTACATCTGGGGAATATATTCCTGGAAATGGACTTAGCTTGTGTTGCATTTACATCGTGTGTACCTTATCAGCTTGAGAACAGGGCCACTTGAAACCATCAGACTTGTTTTTCCCTCTTTGCAGGAAGCCATCTTGATTTCACTGGCAGCTCTGAAGCCTGGAATAGAAGCGGCATCCTCTCAAGCCAAAGAAAGCTGAACTGTGCTTTCTAGGAACTCAAGTTATTTGAGCTTCATATAATAAAACCAGAGAAGAAAACATTGACCATTATCAGCCTTTTTTCTAGTACACCCTGGATAAAGAATTTTTGCTGTAGGCAAATGCTTTTCTTTTCTGAATATTATATGGTATACTGCGACAACCCAAGTACAGTGTACAAGAATCTCAAAAAGGACTTCACTGACCCAGCTGAAGATCATGGACAGTGCTGAGACTTCACATTCACTGACATAGTTGAAGATCTGGACTGTGCAATCAGAAGGACAGCTCTGTTTCTGACCGAAACACAGTTTGTAAAGAAAACCAAAGCATGCCACACAGTATTTGTGACTTATGCCAGTCCTGCTATTAGTTTTTTTGTTTTACATTCTTTGTCAATTTCATAAATTGTATATACATGTATTAATGACTTTTATTTTAAGAGACCCTGTTTTGACATAACATTTTTCAAAGCGGAAATACCTGCAAAATAAGAGCGGGAACATTTCTCATGCTGCCAGAATCCACAGGGAAACTGACACTTCCAGGAGGGTACTAGGTCCTCCCATTGACCGCAATGTCACTACTGTATCTTGTAATGGGGTGGCAGTCAGCAGAAGGAACTGGTTAAAACTACAGGGACCCAGGAGACTAACATCTACAAGTGTGTTTTTCAGTGTGCACTTCAGCAGAAGATTTCTCTATATCAAAGCAGAGTTCAGTGGCATGGGTAGTGGCTATTTCCAAACATGTTGCTTTAAAGTATAACTAAAGTCAACACTTTTTTTTTTAATTTTAGTTTTGGATAGAGTGGAAGGGACTAGAACCCCTGCCAGGTGTTTTTTTTTTTTTTTTTAAATATTGCTGTCTATGCCCCTAATAGGGAGGTTCACCCTCTCTTTGTCCTGTTTACCATTAGCACTGAAAGTAAAAGAAAATCCCACATTTTGGGCAGTCCCCAGAAAGGTAACAGAAGGGAAAGCTACCAATGGCTAGAGTAATTTCCTCTCACTTCCTATTTTGGCTATGAGACAAAAGGTGAAGGAAAATCTCCGCAATGGTACACAGATGGCCAAAGAAAAAAAAAAAAAATTGACAGGGATTATATCCCCTTCCTAACTATCCAAAATGAAAACAAAAAGGTTTTGGCTTTAGTTCTACTTTAAACTAGGTACACTAAATAATATTTACTTTAAAGCAACCAAGCAAGTTGATTTCACCACTTCAACCTAGAGCAACAGTAAGACATGGAACAAGGGTGCGGTTCAGGAGTTGTGACTTGAATTGAAGCCAGAGAAAGACAACACAATCTCAGACTCAGCCACTCAGGGAAAGCTTTGTATTTATTCATAAAATACCAAGCTTCCTTTGAATAGCTGAGCGCCGCTCACTTTGACTTAATTTTGTTCTAGGAGCAGAATGGGAAGTTCCCAAATCACTGATGGAACACAGCAATGTATACTGTATGTTACATGGTTAGTCTGGCTGAAAAAAGACAAAGTCCATCCAGTTCAACCATAAAAAAAAAAAAGTTATAATCCTACACCCACAGTTCATCCAGAGGAAGATAAAAAAAAAACCCAGCAAAGCATGATCCAGTTTGCTCCTGCAGGGAAAAAAAGTTCTACCTGATCCCCTGAGAGGCAATCGGATATTCCCTGAATCAAATTTACCTATAAATGTTAGATAAGTGGATACTAAGAGACTCCAGGCCTTTTTTTAAAGCAATCCACTGAGCTGGCCAGACCCAACTCTTGAGGGAGTCTATTCCACATCTCTCACTGTGAAGAAACCTTTCCATGTTTGGAGATTACATTTCTTTTCCTCCAGATGTAAAGAGTGCCCCCTTGTCCTCTGTGATGACCTCAGGGTGAATAACTCTACACCGAGTTCACTATATGAACCACTGATGTATTTATACATGGAGATCATATCATGTATTATACATGGAGATCATATCCCCCCTTATGTATTATACATGGAGATCATATCCCCCCTTAATCTCCTCTTCTCAAGAGAGAATACATTCAGTTCCTCTAATCTTTCCTCATAGCTGACCTCCTCCATGCCTCTTATCAGTTTGGTTGCTCTTCTCTGCACTTTCTCCAGTTCCCCAATGTTCTTTTTGTGAATTGGTGCCTAAAATTGAACTGCATATTCCAGATGAGGTTTTACTAATGATTTGTACAGAGAGAGATATCATATTACCCCTGTACAAATAATTAGTAAAACCTCATCTGGAATATGCAGTTCAGTTTTGGGCACCAATTCACAAAAAGAACATTGGGGAACTGGAGAAAGTACAGAGAAGGGCAACCAAACTGATAAGAGGCATGGGGGAGATCAGCTATGAGGAAAGATTAGAGGAACTGAATTTAGTCTCTCTTGAGAAGAGGAGATTAAGGGGGGATATGATCTCCATGTATAATATATATCAGTGGATATGATCTCCATGTATAAATACATCAGTGCTTCATATAGTGAACTCGGTGCAGAGCTATTCACCCTGAGATCATCACAGAGGACAAGGGGGCACTCTTTTTGTCTGTATGAAAAGAAATTTAATCTCCAAACACAGAAAGGTTTCTTCACAGTGAGAGCTGTGAAAATGTGGAATAGACTCCCTCAAGAGTTGGTTCTGGCCAGCTCAGTGCATTGCTTTAAAAAAGTCCTGGATTCTTTCTTAGATACACAGAATATAACTGGATACTAACATTTATAGGTAAGGTTGATTCAGGGAATATCAGATTGCCTCTCGGGGGATCAGGAAGGAATTTTTTTCCCCAGCAGGAGAAAATTGGATCATGCTTTGCTGGGGTTTTTTTTTGCCTTCCTCTGGATCAACTGTGGGTATAGGGTTGTAACATATTTTTTTTTTTTTTATGGTTGAACTGGATGGACTTTAGTCTTTTTTGCAGCCAGACTAACTATATATATCCATAGCAGAAGCTGTGAACATGGTTTATATGGGGGTCTGGGTCATTCCCTTGCTGCCTAGGGTCCCTTCCACAGTGTTCACGTCCTCATTGGAAAGAATAGGTGCACCCCTCACCTCCATTCCACACTGTGATGTCTGGTGCCTCAGAGACCTATCAGAAGACCCAAGTATTTTTACATGGTGGTAGAGAGCATGCATGTAGTGCTGTACAAATGGAGACTTTTCAGAAAGTCAGTAATATGTACAGGTGTTCCAGGCTGAGAGAGTGAGGGAGGGATCTTAATACAAAAAGGTTTGTGCTGACAGCTTATGTAGTCGTCAAGCATTCATTTACCCACAGTTTCTCCATGATTAAACATAATCATACACATTTATACTGTACATAGTGTAAAAAGCAGCAGGAGTCCATAGTTTAAAAGTGAACACGTGCTTTGCCCATGCAGGACAAACCAAGAATTTCCTTCCATTTCAGCGCCATCACCTTCTCAATACATAAGGAATGAGGGTGCATATGACTCACTCCCCTGTTTCATAACCATGCTAGTGTTTGGCTGCTCAGTCACCCAATGATGTCACATGGAGGTGAGAAGAGATTCCATAGCCCTCTGTAAACTTCAAGACATGAGTATACACAGGGCCTCTTGTTTTTGCTTTTAATGGAAGGAAAGGCCATGGGTGGTGGGTACCATTAAAGTAAACCTGCTGTTTGCCCATAATTGCAAGCTGCCATGCAGCACGGGCATAAGCCCAGGTCCACTGAAAGCTGACATAACAGATCAGGATGGTGTCATCTGCCACCAGGAGTGATGGCTTTTAAGTTATTTGTTGACTTGAGAATGTTTGGAACAAAAAGCAAGCCGGCACCTCGCTCAATACTCTCTATGGGCACCAAGAAGCGCTCCAGGGGGATCTTTTCATCTACAGGACAGTTTGGCATAACGTAGGGTCTAAGTTCAATCTCCCCACTGAATTTCTCCAGGACGACTACTTTGAAGAAGTGTGTTGGGACAGCCACATTGTTGGTACCAATCACTTGGTACTTGACATACATTTTACCATCTGCTTCCATCCTAAAAGAAAAAATGGTTGAGAATGAGTCTATAGGTAAGAGCAAAAATCTATTTCTTCCCTGTCTAGTGAGGAACACAGGAATTCAGAGACTGGCAGGTTATACTCCCAACTACAGGATTGGACTCTGGCAAACCAAAAAAAAACAAAAACCCCAGCCCTCCCTACTTCCAGCATGCTAGTGTAACTGGATATAGAATAATTCCAGGTATTGAGATATATAAGTAGTTACAATAATCAGCTTGAACCAATGTAACTATGCATATACCATTCCAGGACAATGCAACTGGAAGCTGGAAATCACGGAAGTAGACATTGCTATTCTAGTGATCTCCACTTGCTTCTGGGTCCTGTGCTGAGCAGCCAGCCTGATGCCTTGTGAATACTGGAGGTTGGCCACTTGGCATAGGCACCATTCAGAGAATGCTTTGCATTTTCTGAATGAATGCAAAGCATTCTGACTTGGAAGAGGTGAAGAACATGATGTCACCACCCCACCTTTGAATTTGGCTCTTCCGGCACGCAAAAAAGCCCACATCTGAACCTATCCGGGATATTCCCCTTTCCACTCTGTCACTTCTGTGAGGGCATGTGTCTGAGCTGGCAGTCCTACCCTGTAATGAACCTTTTATGGGTCTTACACAAAGACAAGGTGGTATGGAAGCCCAGAACTTCCTTTCAAAGTTAGTTTCAGCCTTTCATCTCACCCAGGTCATGGTTCTGTCCATCTGTCTGGCTCCAAGTGACACTAAACAAATTTTTATTTAAAAAATGTTTAAATATAAGTAGAATATATCCTCTATTTCTAACATTGTTTCACCTCTGCTATTCTCATACCTCCTATTCTACGATGGCTACGTTTATTCTCCAGGCTGTGTATGTGAATGTAGTCACCTTTTCCTGCTTGCCCCCTAGATGGACTATACATCTATGTGGAGACACTTTCAGCTCTATGGGAAATGTAGTATGCATAGAGCCGAGCATGTAACTAGAAAAACAGCAGCACTGCTCACGCTTCACTATTAGGGGTGAGGTGTATAAACAAAGGATAGGGAGCATTCACAGGACAAAAAAAGAAGCCTGATAACAACAGTAAGAGACTTTAAGCAAAAAAAAAAAAAAGTTGTGGTACAACTAATGTTCTAGAACAGGTGTGTCAAACTCCAATTCATCGCGGGCCGTCTCAGCATTATGGTTGTTCTCAAAGGGCCAGTTGTAGCTGTAAGACTAGAGCACCCCACCCCCCATACATTAATGTCAAGAATCCCCACCCTACCTAACATCACCATGCATCTCCTTTGGGGGCAGAGCTGGGAAGCAGAAAGTGCTGGGTCTGGAGGAGGACCAGAAGAGGGGTGGAGTCAGTAACCAGTCTACTGCATGCTGACATCAGAGATGAGGGGTGCTACAACTGCACTGAGAGGTGCAAGATCTGGCAGAGGAATTCTGTCCTCTGCTGCTGACTTCAGAGAAAAGTTGGAGGCACAGATGAGGGAGGTACCGTAGCTGCAGAAGAAGTGCAAGGGCCACAATAAATGGCCTGGAGGGCCGGATTCGGCCCGCGGGCCTTGTGTTTGACACCTGTGTTCTAGAATGACACATGTAAAAAAAAAAAAGCTTGGGCACTGTTTTTCAAGCAAAAGCAAGTACTTCAATATCTCTGTTCCTGCAAAACTGTCAACATAAATTGAACATAATGTTTAAGTAAAGGTCCACTTTAACCCCTTGGCGCCCACACCTCCTGGCCCTTTGAGGGGTTTGTGATGCCAGAGGGCAGGGTTTAGGGTCATGTGACCACCGTGATTGGCTCTCATGGCGGTCACATAATCGGAAAGCTCTTGACCGCAAATATGTGGCCCCTTGGTGCCAAGGTCCAGCCGCCAAGAGGCCGCATATTTGTGTATGCTCGGCCCCAAGGAGTTGAGGTTTCCATCTTGGGTTTACCTTAGGATGTTTCTGTTTACTTTAGGTATAGTTGTATGCATTTGACTTACTTGGGTAAGAATAGGGGACCAGTGCACACATACACATTCCTATTACTCTTGGTTAGTGATCGACAGTATTGCTCCAGGTTGTTCCAGGCACTCTGATTGAGATTTGGATTCTGAAAGAGTGAACATCAGTATTACTTCAAGGTCCGATAGAACTGGTTCTTTAAAATGATAAAATAGCTACATAAGGTGTCTTGATTTAAAGTAAGCGTATCATCTCAATGCAACCCCTGCAAATACAGTGGATTCTACTACTTCTAAATAGTTTTAGGTTACATAGTTGAATATAGACACCAGTTCAACCTCAATGTGTCTGCGTGTATGCAACACATCTACGTTTGTTGAATTTATTTACACCACCAACTATGGAGTAAGTTCTACATCCTTACTGCTGTAACAGTGAAGAATCCTTTAAGTTTAAGATTAACCCCTTCGCGCCGGTGCCTCCCGGCCCTTTAAGGGTTTCAGAAGCCGGGAGGCGGGGCGGGGTTTAGGTGGCAGTCACATGATCGGGAAATGTCCTGATCGAAAGAAGAGATCGGGACCTTTCCGTGAGTACCGGACGTGTGCTGGGAGTGTGCAGGATGTGCACTCTCAGCACATGTTCTTTTTTAATAGAACGCAGATGTGCGGCCGCTCGGGCGTCTAGGCCCAGGGAGGCCGCACATTTGCGTTTGGCCGGCGTGAAGAGGTTACACAGCTTCTTGTCCAACTTTACTGTCTGGCCGTGTATTCTCCTCAGAGACCATAGCTTGAATACTGTAGTTCCTTCTAGGGATGCACCAATACCATTTTTTTTTTCTTAACACTGAGTACCGATTTTTATTTATTTATTTTTTTAAGTATTTGCTAATACAGATTACCAATACCTATTGTCTAGGAAAAGTAGGTAGAGGGGTGGTCTTTTTTTTTGGGGGGGGGGAAACAGTGAGGGAGTGGTAGGGGTTGTGGAGTGGGAGGGCTAGGGTGGTTGGGATGGAAAAGGTTGGGATTGCTGGGGGGGGCTGAAGATGACAGGGGTGGGAGGATCATTTGGAGATTGCTGGATGGCTGGCAGGGACCTCTGGAGTGTTACATTAGGGTTATAGAGGATTAATGGCACCCACACGTGTCTGCAAAAGGCAGCATATTTTATTTGCCATACAGAAAACCACACGATTTTACATAAAACCAACCATCCCCCCCCCGGCACCCTGGTTGAGGAGGTATGGGGGGGGGGGGGGGGTGAAGTGGAATTGATGGTTGGGGATGGGGGGCAGGTGAGGTGGTGGTGGGAGGGTTGGAGGGGGGTGAGGCAGTATGAGGGGTAGGTAAGGCAGTATGGGGGAGAGGTGGGGGGGGGGTGAGGCAGTATGAGGGGGTAGCTGAGCAAGTGTGGGTGAGGCAGTATAGGGGGCAGGGGAGGTGGGTGTGGGGGGTAGGTGGGTGAGGGTGAGACAATATAAGGGGGTAGATGAGGTGGTGGGAGGATGGGTGAGGTAGCATGAGAAGGTGAGGTGGTGGTGGGGGAGGGGTGTGAGGTAGTATGAGGGGTAAGTGAGGTGGTTGTAGGTGGTAGGTGGGTGGGTGAGGCAATATAAGGGGGTATGTGAGGTGGTGGCCGGAGGATGGGTGAGGAAGTATGAGGGGAGGGGGATGTGGTGGATGAGGCAGTATGGAGGGTAGTGTAGGTGGGGGGGGGGGGGGGGGGATGTGGTGATGGTGGATGAGGCAGTATGGGGGGGGTAGGGTAGGTGGATGAAGTAGAATGAGGGGAATGTGAGGTGGTGGGTGAGGAAGTATGGGGGAGTAGGCGAGGCAGTTTTGGGGATGGATGAGAAAGTATTGGGGTGACGCAGTATGGGGGGTAGCAGGGTCTAACTGGGCATTTGGGCAGGGTGCTCGGGGGGATGGGGGGGGGGTTCAGACCCCCACCCCCCTTATCTGCATCTCTGCCACCTAGCGCATGCCTCCCCCCCATATCTCCCCTCTTCCTAGCACAAATTCTGTCCCCATAGTAGTAACAGCAGCAGGGAGGGGAGAGAGCCAGGAGGAGGTGTGGGGCGTGCTCCCCCCCAGCAGCTGCTTTCCTTCCTCTACATTCAGATCTGAGTGATCCTCTGTTAACTCCTGTGTTATAATGAGGCAGAGTCATTGTTTGCTTAGGACTTGCCGGTACAGAGAGGAGCAGAGAGTGAGGGAGGGCCGAGCTCTCTGCCTCTTCTGTCCACAGGGCTTTACAGTGCTCTCTGCCTCATGTAGCACAGGAGCTAAAAAAAGCATTGAGGATCACTCAAATGGATGGATAACTATTGCCGGTATTCTTTTGTTTACATTTCAGCTGTCAGCAGGGGTATCCCGCTGACAGCTGAAATGTCATTGGTTGTTAAGGACGCAGCAGCCCCGCTCCTTAGCAACCAATATTTGCCGGCATTCTTTTGTTAACATTTCATCTCTACATTAGTTTAAATGGGCTGAGCGGCCAATGCTGATCGCATAACCCAGTCATTCTTGCAGCAAGAATATGCAGATTCTTGCTGCAGAGATCCAGATGCTGCAACAAACTAGCCATGTGAAAGGGGTAAGGATGTGCAATTCCTATTGCCCCACGCCCAGGACACGTAGTGGCGGGCAGGTAGTTTTTTTTTTTATGTTTAGCCCTGCTGTGGGCAAGCAGCAGGGCTTACTTGTCAAGTGGAAGCATTCGGGCGGCAGCACTGCTGCCAGATTGCTTCCACACATCCCACTATAGTAGCACCCCCAATCACCCACTATGTCTCCCAGGCTCCACTTCTGCCCCAGGGTTGGCTCAGCGGGTGCCTACGGGTAGAAGGGAGGAAGGATAGCTGACACATCCGCTCTCCTCCCCTTCTTGTCATGACCTGGAAGTGACATACATGATGCCACTTCCGGGTCTCCATTGACAGATTTCCCAGCCATCAAGACCGAGGAAAGAATGTAATGCAGTGCGATGTGCACTGCATTACATTCAGTGGAGTACAGAGGAGACATCCAGGGTTTTAGACCCTGGATGTCTCAATAAAGAGAACCTGTCACCAAAAATCATCAACGTGATGGGAAAAAAAAAAAAAAAGTATGAAAACATTTTTTTCTTTAAATGTAAAAAATTAAAAGACACCCCCAAGCAAATAACCCCCCCCCCCAATCCCCACTTATACACACATAAATGCTCATGCCAGGATGCCTACACATGAAAACATTGATTGCGATATACATGTTACATATCGCCGCCAAGATGGGATCCATAATTCTAGCACCAGAACTCCTCCGTAACACTATACTGATGACCTATAAGAGGTTGCCTATAGAAAATATAGGATACTGAAGTTTGTTGCATGTTCCATCTGTTTTTAGAGTGGAACATGTAACATGTTCCTGCAGTGGCTCGGTGATCCGAGCCCTTTCTGTGACAGCAGTAAAGGGAGACGCTCCCCATACCAGCTCTCACTTACTGAAAGGAACCCGGCTGTGCGGGGCTCCACCCACACGGCTACCTTATTCATTCACAGAGTTCTGTGAATGAATCAGCTTTGAGTACTGACATCCTTTGCAGATATCGCCTTGTAGTTCTCAAGTAACTACCACGGCGCTGTTGAGTGCTCTGGTAGTTCATTGATTCTTCCTGTCAGTTTAATCTGTCTGCTCATACATCATATGGGCAAGCAGTTTCACACTGACAGTCTGCAGGAGTCCTGCATTGCACCAGCAATTTGCTGATCACTGGTGCAATGCTTTCCATGCTCTTTCAAAAAAGAAGCCTTTTTTTTTTTTTTTTTTTTTTTTTTTTTTTTTTTAAGGTGAACTTATCCTTTAACAGAGTGGACACTGGACTTGATTTGGCTACTCAGCACACACCTGTACTGAGCACCTAAGTGCTTCCATGTGCGAGAATAACCTGAAGGAATAAAGTTTTATTTTTTTCCCTCATTGGGGCCGGCGCCCCATTTACTTGCTCAGCATATGCGCCTCTGCTGAGCATTAAGAGAGCCCGACACTCCCCTTTCCTGACAAGCACTTAATCAGTGCTCATTACACTGCAAGGTCTCTCCCCTCCCTGCTAGTCCCCGGGTGTGGTGCTGGAGAGAGGAAGGGAGGGGAGGAGGAGATAAACAGCACAATGGTAAAAATATTAAACGTTTAAGTCGCCATAAAGCCTCTTTTGTTTTTACAAGCCCCAGACATTCCTAAAATCACCTCTGATTTAAATACGGTTTTGGGTCAAAATTATTATTTTTTATCTGAACAAGTAGATTGTCATGAGGAACAAGTAGATTGTCATGAGGGACAAGTAGACTGGGACCCCGATTTAGTCCCTGGACAAGTAGTTTTTTCAAAAATTTCCACAACCCCTTGGGGTCTTAATCTAACTTTTAGGGGTGTATTCATTAAAAAAAATTCACATAGCTTTTTATCCAGAGCAGTGTGAAAGGGGCCCAATGCCAAGTATAAAATGCTGGATAGTATTGTGGTGCTGGATTCATACTAGAGATAAATGATACATTAACATTTGAATGTAGGGAAGGCTCCACGACAGTGTAGCATAGTAGATAGTCAGCGAATCTCTGATTTTGAGAGTCTGGAGTGACACTCTTGGTTGGAAAAAAAAGGCATCTAGTGTGGAATATCTCAAGCAGTAAATCTCTGAGTTTGGGGGCCACATGCATGGCCAAATGTCATAGAAATACTCTACTTCAAAAAAAAAAAAAAAAAAAAAAAAGGGCAGTAAAGCTTTGACTGGAAGCAGAAAATAATGCAAAGAAATTTTCAGAAAACTTTTTAGTAGAATGAAAAGAAACACTAAAGCTAGGTTCACACCTATGCAGGATGCGCTTGAGCTGTTTCTGCATTTTTGCGCCTGCTTTTTTTTATGCATTTTTTGCCACGCTCTTGATGCATTTTTTTTTTTTTGCTTGTTGCTAGGCCGATGTAAAAACGCAAAAAGCATAAAAAAAAAGCAGCAAAAATGCAATACATGCTTTTCTGCATCGTTTCCATTTGGGTATATAGAACCAAAAACGCAACTGCGTTCTAAAAAGTCCCTGACCCTTTCCAAAAAACGCACCGGGTGAAAACGCGCAGATGTGAACCTGTCCTATAGGAAATCATGTTAAATGGACTGTACTGTGTTTCTGCAAAATGCTGCAGAAAAAGCTTAGTTGTGAAGCTAGGGTCAGGCATCCTACATCCTAGGACACCAAGCTAAACCGGACCGCTAGGAATGGGTGGGTAAAGCCTACAGTAGGAGCATTCCATTCTAATTTCTGTCCAACCTCTTAGGGGAAGGCATACACTCGCCGGCCACTTTATTAGGTACACCTGTTCAATTGCTTGGTAACACAAATTGCTAATCAGCCAATCACATGGCAGCAACTCAATACATTTAGGCATCTAGACGTGATGAAGACAACTTGCTGAAGTTCAAAGCAAGTATCAGAATGAGGAAGAAAGGGGATTTAAGTGACTTTAAACAAGGCATGGTTGTTGTTGTCAGACGGGCTGGTCTGAGTATTTCAGAAAAACTGCTGGTCTACGGGATGTTTACACACAACCAGCTCTAGGGAAATCGAGACTTATTAGATCAGCAATGTTTTTCCAATCTTCTGTGTGAGCCTATGTGAATTGTAGCCTCTGTTTCCTGTTCTTAGCTGACAGGAGTGGCACCCGGTGTGATCTTCTGCTGCTGTATCCCATCTGCTTCAAGGTTCAACGTGCTGTGCGTTCAGAGATGGTATTCTGCATACTTTGGTTGTAACAAGTGGTTATTTGAGTTACAGTTTTTCTATCATCTCGAACCAGTCTGCCCATTCTCCTCTGACCTCAACAAGGTGTTTTTGTTTACACAACTGGATAATTTCTCTTTTTCAGACCATTCTCCGTAAACCCAAGAGATGTTTGTGCATGAAAATCCCAGTAGATCAAAAGTATGTGAAATACTCAGACCAGCCCATCTGGCACCAACAACCATGCCATGTTCAAAGTCACTTAAATCCCCTTTCTTCCCCATATTGATACTCGGTTTGAATGTCAGCAAGTTGTCTTCACCACGTTTAGACACCTAAATGCATTGAGCTGCTGCCATGTGATTGGCTGATTAGCAATTTGTGTTACCAAGCAATTGAACAGGTGTACCTAATAAAGTGGCCGGTGAGTGTATATTCCTACGGTCTAATAAGTCCCCCAATGAGCATTAAAAGAAGAAAGTTACCATTTAAATATAGGCCCAAAGGGCATTTGCCCCTTGATAAGTGCAGTAAACCATAACGGACAATCAATGTAAGCCAATGTTTGATGAGTAACATCACTGACCTGCGGGTAGACATTACTGAGTATGAAAGTTTCATCCATGGCTTGCTGGCTCCACTTATGATTGGCTGCTGCCGCCAAGTGTCCCCGATCATATCCACTTCTCTTGTAGTCGGAGTTTGTGGCCCGGTGATAAGGATGTACAGATTCATCTTCTCTGAAGTCACAGCTCCGCCGGTCAGCTGCGCCCTGTATGCACTCACCGTTCAGTTGTTCTAGAACCCACGTTGGGCCACGCAGTCTGGGGTCATAGCTGAGGACGTGGGACTGGCGACTCTTAAGCTGGCTGAAGCCTGGCAATCCAAATCGAGTGATGCCAGAAACAGGGGGGAGGGACACCTCCGATGCCGCCTGTACGATTGGATATAGGGAATCAGATCCAGACTTGTCTTGTAGTCTCCATTTAGTCAGCCCTGTACCCAACACAGCACCAAATGCCAAGGATACCCCCGAAACCAGAATCTGGCGGCTAAATCTCATTTTCAAGAGAGCAGAAAGTGTTCCGGTACCGGCACGGTCACATCTTTCTTATTCTAGTAGGGGAAGCGGACACATTCTTCAGACCTGTTCCTGCAAAATAAAGAATCACATTGTATCATTTCCATGTCTCTGACAACCCCTATGACATGCTGAGACAGTATTGGATCTTACATGTACTCACAGCCTTGCTGGATGCCTCAATTACAGCAAATCACAACCCAGCTTATGTGAGAGGCACTTGAGATCTGACCTATCACAACAATCCTGTATCATCATCAGAATCATATACTAAAGTAAAATAAACGTACATTCTACACATCCGGTCACATGACCTCCTTTTACCACTTGCTGTCTGGGGCAATTTTTGGCATACACATTAACCCAGGGGTGGGCAAACTTTTTGACTTGAGGGCCGCAATAAGTTCATATATTAGACCCGGGGGCCGGACCAAGAGTAGATGAATGATGTGTATGTGTCATCCATAGTAAGTATAGTAATATTCCCCCATAGTAAGCATAGTAATTAATCCCCCATATAGTAATTAATCCCCCATAGTAATTCATCCCCCATACAGTAATTCATCCCCCATAGTAATTCATCCCCCATATAGTAATTCATCCCCCATATAGTAATTCATCCCCCATAGTAATTCATCCCCCATATAGTAATTAATCCCCCATATAGTAATTCATCCCCCATAGTAATTCATCCCCCATATAGTAATTCATCCCCCATAGTAATTCATCCCCCCCATATAATTCATCCCCCCATAGTAATTCATCTCCCATATAGTAATTCATCCCCCATATAGTAATCCATCCCCCCATATAGTAATTCATCCCCCATATAGTAATTCATCCCCCCATATAGTAATTCATCCCCCATATTAATTCATTCACTTACCTTTGCTCCGCGCGTTCCTCTCGCCGTGTTCCCGCGCCGTTCCGGTCTTCAGGGCGGACTGTGAGAGGAGCCTAGCTCCCCTCCCCTCACGTTCGTCACGCTGCCCCCACCTACACACATCCTGGCAGCATCACGCTCCACGGGCCGGATTAAAAGGTCTGCCGGGCCATAGTTTGCCCATTGCTGCATTAACCCCTTCACACCTTAAGGGTAAAACAAATCTTAAAGCCTAAATAAAATTTTGCAACTTTGACATGTGTTAGTAAACCGTACATATCATCACAACCACTTTGTACATCCAGGTGAATTATACCGCGTTTTTTTTCAAATTGGGCTTTCATTTGGTGGTAAATGGTAATGGATAGCTCCTGATTTTTTTTTAATTATCAAAGGAAAACTGGCCCAAAATAGTAAACATTTTTTTTTTTTTAATTTAGCTGTGTTTCTTATTACTGCCATAACCTACCACCAAAGAACAACCCAAAATAAATTCTCCAGCTCTAGACGATCGCAGCGATACCATGTGTATGTTATTTGTTGTTTGTACCTGTACTACAGCCCAGAAACAATACTGCGCATTTTGTTTTTTTACCTAAAACAGACACTGACACCAATTTAAACATTTTTTTTTTTTTAAATCTGAACTTTGATTCTGACCCAAACACTAACCCTGGCACTGAACTAGATCAAACCTTGATCTGGGTATTTTTTTATTTATGTTTTATTTTATTTAATATTTAATCTTTTTTTTTCAGATACAAAGTTTTTTTTTCTCTCTGCAAGGAGATAGAGAGATACAATGTATCTCTCTCCTCCATTCAGAGAGAAAAAAAAAACCAAGGGCGGCGGGCTTCACAGCGACTGATCACTGTGCCAATCAGAGGCTATCACAGCAATCATTTGACGTGGAATTGGGAGTTCTGGGTCCCGATCAATAGAACGGGACCCGGGGCTCTCAGTGACACCCCAGTCTTTGTGCTGGGAGCGCACTATGCGGTGTGCTCCCAGCACAAAGAGAGGTGCGCAAATATGTGGCCCCACGGAATCTCATATTTGTGTGACGTCGGCATGAAGGGGTTAAAATAAGCATTTTTTTTTTTTAATGGAAAATTGCTTAGAATCCCCAAATATATATTGTCTGAAAGCAAAGGCCCTGGAGAATAAAATGGTGACATTTGCAATTATTTTAGGTCAAAAGATATTTGCGCAGCCATTTTTTACCAAACCAAATTTTCAGGAAAAAATACACCTGAATAAATATTAGTGCACACAATCACAAAACAATACCCATTCGTAACATATAAAAGATGAAGTTATATCAAGTAAATAAAAACCAAGCATGTCAATTGTGCACACCTGTGAAATGGCGAAAACCTACGGTACTTACAATCGTCCACGGGCAATGCACTTCAGGCTACCAGTTTCTTACACGTGTGGTGTAATCACCATTTACATATGTGTGCTGGACCTACATATGCATTTGAATGTTAGCACAGGGGTGCTTTTAATTCTTTTGGTTTCAATTTTTCTTTACACTTTTTTTTTTTTCCCATTTAAAGCAGTAGTAAACTGCGGGAAAAAAAAAATCCCTGCAAGACAATGGTATAATGTGCTCACGTACACATACGAGCACATTATGTGAAACTTACCTTAAATGAAGCGGCGCGTCCCCGCTGAGAGTTTCCATCTTCACAGGCTCTGGCGGCTTGAAAGGCCGAGCCGCGATGATGTCACTCCCGCACATACGCACAGGAGTCACTTTTTACAGCACACAACTCTGAAGGAAGGGCAACGAGCATGCCGCTCTTTCAGAGCGCATACGCTGATGGTCCTTTACAAGTAAATATCTCTTAAATGATGCAGGTTTAGGTGATATTTACAGTTCCTACAGGTGAGCCTTATTATAGTCTTACCCCGTAGGTACAAGTAAAACTTTATGAAAAAAAGTTAAAACTTTAACTTTATGAAACAACGCGATAGCTATGAGCTCTTTATAGACCCTGATGTCTCCCCTGCCCTCCTCTAACAGCCAGGAAATGACAGCTCTGAAACCAAAAGTGACAAAATCCTTGTGATTTTCAACGTCATCCATCACAGAGGAACATCCATTCCCTCATCTCCTCTATGGGCAGCTGGTCCAACTGCTCATTGTGCTCTCTGGTGCAACATGGGGAGTCTGGGAACCACAGTGGAGGGGGGGGGGGGGGGCTTCTGAGCGTTGTTAAAGCGATTGGACAGCTGTAAAGCCACCTGATCACGTTCACAAGAATCACCGGCTCTAATACTCAGTCTATATACACCATCATATAGGATGTGTGTGTATATATACACACGTGAGCTGGACGGTGAGTGGTTAAAGCCCATTTACACTTCTGCGCAGGGGCAGACTGACCATTTGGAAACTTGGGCACTGCCCGAGGGCCTGGGGTCAGTAGGGTTCCCCATGAGATGCCCCTGGTACCTTTTTCATAGGCTTTGAGTTTGGGCAATGACACAGGGCCCCATAATCCCCTATTGCCCGGGGGCCACATGAGTTGTCTGCCCGCCCCTGCTGCTGCAGTACGACCTGCATGTGTCCAGATTCCCCATAATGTGGAATTGATTTACTAAAACTGGAAAGTGCAATCTGCTGCAGCTGCGCATAGAAACCAATCAGCTTCCAGGTTTTGTCAAAGTTAAATGGAACAAGCTGAAGTTAGAAGCCGATTGGCTCCCGTGCACAGCTGCACCCTCCATTATTAGTAAATCTCCCCCAGTGTTCCCATCTCTTCACAGTGCAGCATATTTAGAAGAAACAAACCATGCTGAGACTTGTAGTTCCATCAGTAGAAATTAGATCTTGTCACAATGCAGTGCACATGGACTTCTGACTTGGATGCCCTTGACTTGATTGGAGGAACAAACACCCTGATATCTATTTCTATCCCAGCACAGGAGAAGCTCCTAAAATCAGGGCTAATTACAGTCATTGTAACTGGGGAGGCAGCAAGGTTGTAAAATACACAAAGCACATGACTACTCACAGAAGATCGTTCAGTGGATGAGAGGAGGGTGGATGAAAGGCAATGCTGAAGGAACAAGCGAGACCTGTCACAGGAAACCTCATGCCTCATCCAGATCAGCACCGTCTAGTGGACATTTGTACAATTACACTTCAATAAAAGAATGGGTTATGCTCATAAGAAGCCTTTCTCCACCTTTTATTTTCCAGAATTGTTTTATTAAATATCTTTGACTGCAATATAAAACAATAATGTAAACAACAAAATTCCATTCACCTATACAAATGTAGATATGTTCAACAGCCCAGAGTAATTTGTAAAATACAACTTACAGAAAGATGTATAGTAACAGGATGGGTGAATTGAAAACAAGAAAAAAAGGGGGGCCTCATAGTTAGGCTGGCCATACATTAATCAATTTTCTTGAGATTTTTACTTTAGATTTACCAAAAACCATATAATAGGTGGTCAAACCTAACAACACTTTCAGTTGTATCCAATTAGGCAGGCTCTTGCACTACACAGTTTAAGGTAAATCTAAAGGAAATTGGGAAGAAATTGGACAGAGAAAATTGTATGGCCTAAGGCTTGTCATACACTATACAATTTTCTTACAATTTTCTGTCTAATTTCTGCCCAATTTCACTTAGATTTACTTTCAAGGGTCTGCCTAATTGGATCCAATTGAAAGTGTTGTTTAGGTTTGACCTCCTATTATATGGTTTTTGGTAAATCTAAATTCTCAAGAAAATTGTATAGTGTATGGCCAGCCTAACAATTTTCTTGAGATTTTTGCTTTAGATTTACCAAAAACCATATAATATGAGGTCAAACCTAAACAACACTTTCAACTGCCAATCATTCAGCCTATACATTATACAATTTTCTTGAGATTTTTGCTTTAGATTTACCAAAAATCCATATAATATCAGGTCAAACCTAAACAACACTTTCAACTGCCAATCATTACTGCTGTAGTTGCTGGGACTATTCAAAGAAACACCATTCCCGATTACAAAAATTGTTATGAAAAGACAAAAGGTCAACTGACCAAGGCTCCATTCACATCTGAGAATCAGTAAACACACAAAAGTATTCATTTTTGTGCACATTTACGAAACACGCTAGAAACATGTGTCTTGTTTGTGGTGCCATTCGTTGTTAAAGTATAACTATGTTTTTGTTTTGTTTTTGTTTTTTTTTTAAACAATCATGTCATACTCACCTGCTCTGTGCAATGGTTTTGCCCAGAACCGCCCCCAAACTTCCTCTTCTTACACTCCCGGCCCCTCCCCCTTGGTGAGTTGCCTCCATAGCAAGTAAATTCTGCTTACTCCTGAGCCAACTTTGTGTGTCCATAGACACACAGAGTGGAGCTCAAACACCCCCTCCCTTGATCCCTCCTCACTGGCTGTGATTGACAGCAGTGGAAGCCAATAGCTTCCGCTGCTGTGTCTTAGCCAATGAGGAGGGAGAGAGAGCTGGGAAAGCCACTGTTCTGGGGCACATTTGCTGGATCGAGATCAGGCTCAGGTAAATATAAGAGAGGGGGCTGAGCATTTAAGGTTTTTTACCTTCATATATAGAATGCATGAAGGTAAAAATCCTTCAGCCAACCTTTAGAACTACTTTAATGCAGCAAGAAATGCAGCAGAATGTGCAGGAAAAAAAAGTGCAGAACTGAACGTGCCAGAAAGCTACATGAGCTACTTTGTCATGTGCAGGGCAGCCCAATGAAATGAAAGGGGTTCCCTTTGCATATTGTGCAAAAAATGCACACAAAAGCACAAAGAAGCCAATAGGTGTGAATGCGGCCTAAGGGCCACCATACATGTTACAGTCTGACCATGCAATCTTTATACAATTAGCTTTTGATTGTCATAAATGTTGTAAAATGAAGACATGCCCAATCTATCCGCTCAATTTGTACCCAGACAGGCTCTTGCTACACCAAGTTGTTGGTAGATCTAATGGTGGTCATACATGATTTGATCTAATGATTAAATCTGCAAAAAAAAAAATCAAATAGCCATAACTTCCCTTACAATTGATTTTATCTGCATTTGCAAGTGGATTCAATCACACTGAGTGGATCACCCAGGGCAGAAAATTATCAATCATTTTATATCAATTGGCGGCCCTGAGACACTTTGATCATCAATATGATCATATTTTGTTTGATCAGATTATGAGATGATGTGGTGAAAATAAAGATGCATTCAATGACTTCAAATAAAAAGCGGAAGTTTTCCCATGTGGACACTAGTGACAATCAGGGATTCCCTGATAAGGACCTTTAGGCAGGGAAATCTCCCTAAAGGGACACAGATGGCAAAAAAAACTCAAAAACAACATGACAGAGGTTATAACTCTCCCTTACGCTATCCAAAATGAAAGAAAAAAGGTTTTAGTTATACTTTAATTACTTCTTGAAATCAACTTCACATGGGTTGCCGACTATAGATCAATTATTCCTATTGGAAGAAATTGATTGAAAAATAAAACTTGATCATTTATCAAAGTATGTATGGCCACCATATTGGAGATTGTGGAACCAGACTAACGTGTGGTGAGCTTTAGATCCACCAACAACTATGTAGTACAAGGGCCTGACTGATGGGAAACATATTGGGGGGATAGATTATTCAGGTGCTTTTATTACATATTATCACATACCTGGTGTTAGAGGCCAATGGAGAGAGGGCTTTCCTTTCAGCTAAGTTCCAGACCCCTGGATAAGGGACAGAAGGAGTCAGGCCCAAAGTAGCACAGGTCGCCTGTAGGAGTGCTCGTCAGAGATATACCCAGGAGCACAGCTGATGCACTGGAATGGTGTCTAGACAGGTGCGCCCGTGACAGGTATGCAGGCCTTCAGGGTAGCAGAGGACCACAGAGTAAAGAGGGAAATGCCGGTTATCAGTATTTCGCTCATGAGCTGTCACAGCTCGAGAGGAGAGCCAGTAATCAGCTTTACTCAGAGGGGACATGTGCACTGATCATCAGGTGTAGCCCCAGCAGTGCCACCTGTCAGTGTCCATCAGTCCCAGCTGTCAGTGCTCATCAATGCCACCTCCTAGTGCCCATCAGTGCCACATCAATGCCACATAACAGTGCCTACCAGTGCACATCAATGCCACATATCAGTGCCCATCTGAGCTGCCTTTCAGTGCCTATCAGTGCCGCCAATCAGTGCCACCTATCAGTGCCGCCAATCAGTGCCGCCTATCAGTGCGCCAATCAGTGGGGCCTAGTCAGTGGCCAGTCAGTGGCGCCTAACAGTGCCAGTCAGTGGCGCCTAACAGTGCCAGTCAGTGGCGCCTAACAGTGCCACCTATCAGTGCCATATATGAGTGCTGCCTTTTAGTGCCCATCAGTAATGCCTGTCAATGCCCATCAGTGCCACCTACCAGTGCCTCCTCATCAGTGCCCATCAGTACCCATCACTGCAGCCTCATTAGCGCACATCAGTGAAGCAAAAAAATCACTTATTTACAAAATTTTATAACAAACTAAGAAAAAACTTTTTTTTTCCAAATGTTTCAGTGGTTTTTGGTTTGTTTAGCAAAAAATAAAAAAACCCAGAGGTGATTAAATACCACCAAAAGACCAAAAGAAAGCTCTGTCTCAAAAAAATAATAAAAATTTCATATGGGTACAATGTTGCATGACCGAGCAATTGTCATTCAAAGTGTGACAGCGCTGAAAGCTGAAAAGTGGCCTGGGCAGGAAGGGGGTGTAAGTGCCCAGTAGGCTAGTGGTGAAAGGTGAACTTAAGCTGGCCATAGACAGATCATAATTTTGCCAGTTCATCAGGGAACAGCTTACCATATTTTTCGCTCCATAAGACGCACCTAGGTTTTAGAGGAGAAAAACAAGAAAAAAAAATATTCTGAACCAAAGGACTGCAGACACAGTACAGGAAATGACCAGAGACTGCGGACACAGTACAGGGGATGACCAGAGACTGCGGACACAGTACAGGGGATGACCAGAGACTGCGGACACAGTACCAGGGCGGATACAGGGGATGACCAGAGACTGCGGACACAGTACAGGGGATGACCAGAGACTGCGCACAGGGGGATGACCAGAGACTGCGGACACAGTACAGGGGATGACCAGAGACTGCGGACACAGTACAGGGGATGACCAGAGACTGCGGACACAGTACAGGGGATGACCAGAGACTGCGGACACAGTACAGGGGATGACCAGAGACTGCGGACACAGTACAGGGGATGACCAGAGACTGCGGACACAGTACAGGGGGTGACCAGAGACTGCAGACATAGTACAGGGAATGACCAGAGACTGCGGACACAGTACAGGGAATGACCAGAGACTGCAGACATAGTACAGGGAATGACCAGAGACTGCGGACATAGTACAGATGACCAGAGACTGCAGACAGTGCAGGGGATGAGACTGCAGATAGTAAAGGAGATTACCAGAGACTGCAGACCTTTGGGGGGGAGGGGGGGAGCGGGTACCTGAATTTGACAGGTACCCGCTCCCACTTCCGCGTAGTTGTCCTTCCTTCTTCTCGCGGGGCTTCTGTGACAGCCGGGTTCACAAAGCGCAGTGCTTCTCGCACATGCGCAGTGGGCACCCGGCTGTCACAGAAGCCGCCGCGGGAAGACTGTAGCGCTGGAGCGAGGAACAGGTAAGGTCCTGCAGGAGAAAAGAACTGAGCGGCCGGCCCGATATTCTGACATGGTGGCGGCAGAAATACCGGACCGGCCGCTTTACATTCGCTCCATAAGACGCACTGACATTTTCCCCCCTTTTTGGGGGGAAAAAAGTGCGTCTTATGGAGCGAAAAATACGGTAAGTTCACCTTAAAATAAATAAATTATTCAGAAAAAATAAACACCCACATTTTAAGTTGAACTTAACCTGGCCATAGATGGAATGAAATTCGTCCAGTTCAGCACAGAAAGGACGAATTTCAATTGGTGTGTTCGATGGAAGTCAATCCTTATATCGTCTTTTGTTGAATGGACATGCTGGAAAACTTGTCAATTGACGGCTGCAGTGGAAGGAATCTGTTTTATTTTGTTCAGGCCTCTGGCTGATTGGAAAAAACAAACCATCTTTGGCTAGCTTTACCCTTGACTGAAGTGCAGCTATAACTTCCAGTCAAGTTTTTATAGTGTGGAAAGAAACCATAAATACATAAAATACCCATGTTGTGCCCTTAAACGGCAGACTTTGTGTTCAAATATTACTCAGAAAAGTGAAAGAGAAAAACTTTTAATTGCACATATTTCAAATTCCAGGCATCAAAAGAAAAGTCGCTTAAGGTTCAAGTATTTTACAATCTATATAAGTGGTAGGCAAATCATAGAGCCTAGTATTGGCTGGCATTAACCAATGTCAAAAATTGGCATTTAGAATGGGATCACACAGCAGCTCTAGGTAGCCATGTATACCACTTTACATTTAAGTGACCTTCATTGCGGATTCATTCCTAGATTTAGTGACGCATACGATCTATGAATTCAGTGTACTAGATTAAATGAAGGTAGGCCACCAACTGAATCTAGTCATTCATGGAAATTAAAAAATCTATGTCAGTAAAATATAAATAGAAGACAGTAACGCTTTATCTGTTTTACAGGGTCATCACCATGGACTACGGGTCCCAACAGCAGCACTATTGATTTCAAAGGTGAAGGGTAAGAGTCGGACTATCGTACTGAAATCAGATGGGAGAGAGACCGTCCTCTTAGAATTATAAGCTGCATCCACTTTAAGAAGCCAGAGTTGACTACAGTTCCTTTTTTCCAGATGACACAGTGCTCCACTTCTGTAATATCTTCTCTGCAGCATCCAATGTAGCATCCTCCTAAACAACAAAAAAAAACTAAAAAGTCAGTGGAGGTCCCAGTGTACCTTGTCTAAAGATTAATAACACCCCATGGAATCTGTAGGAACCTGTGCTAAATCCTCAGGTGGAACTAAACCTATCCTTTACAGCCAAGGAAGCTGCCATCTGAACCTATGTTTGATCTGCACTTGTCATGGTGCTGCACAGGTCATTAGTTCTGACACCAGCCTTTTAATGCCTTGACAGTTTGGCTGAGAGCAGAAGTAGCTGTGACAGTCATCATTCACGGCATACCTTGAAAGGTAAGTAAGGGTTTTGGGGAGTTTAGTTCCACTTGCATATTGATGTTCCTGTGGAGCACTCCCGTCTCAGGCTGTATATGGATCTTTAAATTCTGGTCAAGATGAAATTAAGGCCCCACTCCCTGTAATTCAACTGTCAAATATCAGAATGTCGATGCACTAGGAGGCATTGAAGCTGAGGCTTCACATATAGACTACTGGCTAGGAAAAGGCCACAGGGCCTCTGGTGGATAATTCTTTAGAGCCTGCAGACAGTCTTGTTTTCGGTCAAACAGATCCTTTTGCCTAGTGTGGCAATGTACAGGTTCACATTGATTATTATTGGAAACAATCAATATGTCACAAATGAAGACGGTCTATAATAGGCTGTAAACTTACTTTTACCTTATCCTTTTTGTGGTAAAACATATAAATCCCACATAAAACCCAAAATTAAAAAGATCCCTTCAGACAAAGTCCGGAAGTGACGAAACGCGTTAGAGGAAGACGTCAAGACGCACGCACGCCAACCAGAAGTGTCGCCGCGGCCATTTTGTTGGTTGTATACATGTAGTTTCAACCAAAAGTTTGATCAGTCAGTACAGAGCCATTGAGGGAGCAATGCTGGAAGCTGGATTTTCCTTTTTTTAATGTGAGTTCCGATTAAATTTGTTTCTATGATGTGAATTCTGCCTAAGAAGCCTCTGTTTCTTTATGAGGAGTTTGGAGGAGTACCCCTGAAATGAAGGATTGAAAGATATGGATTCCCTATGTTAGCCCATGCTTGAGAATAACTTCAAGAGGGTAATAGTACCTGGTATCACTTTTGGCTGGATTACAGAGGGTACTAGTATCTAGTATCACTATTCACAAGTGGTTGGAGTGATCACGAGTTTTTCACGTTTTGGGTTTTATTTATTTATTGATTTATGCAGTGAAAGAATAAGTATATATTTATATATTACTTGCACAAGGTTTTTTTTTTTTTCACTATTTTAAGAGTGGTTTTGTGTTTTTGCACAGAGTGAAGTACATATATTTAAAAAAGATAATACACTATGAATTTTCTTTTCCTTTTTTTTTGAGGTTTTCATGGAATATTTAGGATCAATTTCCTTTTAACTGGATTGAAGTGAAAAATTTTGGAACTTGGATTTTGGACATTGGGATTCTATTTTATTTTATGTAATTTTATTTTATTTTTGTGATTTTGAGACACAATTGGGAGTGAATTTAATTTGAACACATTTTTTAAGTTTAAGTGAATAATATTTATTTTGATTGTATAAATTGATTACATTTGTAGATTTTAATTTTGGATTTTATGTGGGATTTATATGTTTTACCACAAAAAGGATATGTTGGATTGTACACTTTCTAGGGAGAAAGTGTGACTTTTTGGTGGGAGTGGAAGGGAAGGAGTTTATTGATTGATTGATTGATTTTACCTTAGTTAAAAACAAAAAAACTTTGGACATTACTGACAAAAAGTACTGTAAAATGTTTTGAGAGCTTGTTAGGATTACAAATCAGATGCTGTCTAGCCTGAGCGGCAATCGCCGCTTTCTCTCCTCTCCTACCACTAACATTCAGCATGGGATGCCTGCAGGGAGGTTTCCCACACTGCTCCTGGCTGAACTCGGGCTATGACAAGACTGGGTTCACACAGGAGAGGAGCAGTGGGGAAACTGCATGCGATTTGGACAGGAATCGCATGCTAATCTTTGCGGTTCAATTTGCGTCCATTAACGCAAATTGCACCGCAAAGCATCGGTACAGGCTAGTACTTGACCGAAAACATCGGTACTCATACTCGCCGCTAAGAAACGATGGCGGTGCATCCCTAGTACTAATTATATACACGTACAAACACACACCTCAGTTTACGAACGCCCTGGTTAACGTAATTTTCAGTTTACGATTCTTTTTCGCAATACGAACAGATTACATTGGTTTTCAATGCATTTACAAATTGTTTTTTAATCATGTCCCTGTACAGTACTGCGCCTTTATAGTGCACTTTATAAAAGTTTTTGAACAGATAAAAGACTTAACTTTTTCCTGACCTCCAGAACGGATTAATTGGTTTTCAATGCATACCTATTGGAAACCGCATCGCGGTTTACACATTTTTTGCAATACGAAAAGTCCCGCAGACCGAATTAAATTCGTAAACCGAGGTACGCCTGTGTGTGTGTGTCATTATTTATTTATTTTTTTAATTCCATCTATATGTCCCTCTAAAAAAGTCCATGGCTACTATATGCATCTTTAATTTATTGAATCTAAAGGTTGGGGGCATATAACACACGGAGGCTTATTTACTAAAGCTGGAAAGTGTAAAATCAGGCTCTCTTCTGTATAGAAATCAGCTTACAGGTTTTATTTCCAAAGCTTAATTGAACAAGCTGAGGTTAGAAGCGGATTGGTTTCTATGCAGAAGTGAGCCTGATCTTGCACTCTCCAGCTTTAGTAAATAAACCCCACAATGTCTTCGTCAGCAAATAATATCTAGAAACGTGTCAGCTGGAATCTGATTGGCTAATATATGTTAAGGCCTGTGTAAATGAAAACTCTCATAAAACACCCATGCACACTCCTGAAGCCTCTCATATCTACTTACTTTGACAAAGCAAAACCTGATGTAATTTTCAAACTGCGTCTTGTGCGGTATACTGTAAAAAGCAGACATAGGGATCGCTGCTAGCTGCTGCAAAGGAAATAAAGGTCATGTACTATAAACTTCCAAGAGCAATACAAAGGATTGGCACAAGAAAGACAAATCACATACAGGACAAACTAGTTCTCCTCCTGTATAACACACTATGCTGTACTTGTATGTAGCTTAACTTTAAAAAGTGAGCTTGCACTTCAATACTTCCATTAATACCGTCTGTTATTGGAATGCTTGTCCTGTGTCCTGTTAGTCACTTCCCTTTATATGCTGATCTATTTAAACCCTCTTGCTGCCAAAGCTGTTTTTGCATATTTTTTTTGCACACATTAGGCCTGAAGATTACTTAAAACCCCCAAACATCATACATTAATGAAAAAAAAAAGGCTGTAAAATAAAAATGGTGGTAGTTTCCATTTTGTATGTCACATAATATAAATGCAAGGGTTTATAAAAAAGCAACTTTTCAGTGAAAAAAAAAAACCCTCTAAAGTTAATTTTGTTACACACAAAAGCACTACATTACCCAATTTTGGGCACAAAATTGGGTAAGATATTAAAGGGTAATATATTAAAAGATCGTATTCAGAGTAGTGGTTAATAATTCATACTCAGAATGGTCTGGGGTCATCAGTGGTGTACCCCAGGGTTCAGTGTTGGGACCCTTACTTTTTAATATATATTTATAAACAATATAGGGTCTGGGATTAAAAAATCCCATTTCAGTCTTTGCAGATGACACCAAGCTGTGCAGTGGAATAACGTCCTTACAGGATGTCTCCAATTTACAAGCCGACCTCAATGCACTGTTTAATTGGGCAACTATGTAGCAAATGAGGTTTAATGTTGATAAATGTAAGGTTCTGCACTTGGGGGCTACGAATATGCATGCATCATACATACTAGAGGGGGTACAACTGGGGGAATCAATGGTGGAGAAGGATCTGGGGGTTCTGGTAGATCACAAGCTTAATAATGGCATGCAATGCCAAGCTGCGGTTTCTAAAGTGAGCAAAATCCTCTCTTATATTAAAAGAGGTATAGACTCCAGAGAGAGATATCATATTACCCCGGTACAAATCATTAGTAAGACCTCATCTGCAGTATGCAGTTCAGTTTTGGGCACCAATTCACAAAAAGAACATTGGGGAACTGGAGAAAGTACAGAGAAGGGCAACCAAACTGACAAGAGGCATGGAGGAGCTCAGCTATGAGGAAAGATTAAAGGAACTAAATTTATTCTCTCTTGAGAAGAGGAGATTAAGGGGGGATATGATCTCCATGTATAAATACATCAGTGGTTCATATAGTGAACTCGGTGTAGAGTTATTCACCCTGAGGTCATCACAGAGGACAAGGGGGCACTCTTTACATCTGGAGGAAAAGAAATGTAATCTCCAAACACGGAAAAGTTTCTTCACAGTGAGAGCTGTGAAAATGTGGAATAGACTCCCTCAAGAGTTGGTTCTAGGCCAGCTCAGTGGCTTTAAAAAGTCCTGGATTCTTTCTTGGATACACAGAATATAACGGGTTACTAACATTTATAGCTTAAAGTTGATCCAGGGAATATCCTATTGCCTCTCAGGGGATCAGGAATTTTTTCTCCTGCAGGAGCAAATTGGATCATGCTGTGCTGTGTTTTTTTGCCTTCCTCTGGATCAATGGTGGGTATAGGATTATAACTTTTTTTTTTTTTTTGGTTGGTTGAACTGGATGGACTTTTGTCTTTTTGCATCCAGACTAACTATATAACAATATAATGAGGAGGTCGTGTCAGGTAAATGGATAGCAAACATGTAAAGTCGTAACAATTGCGTGCACCTGTGAAGCAATAACAAATATATGGGGATGTCTCCGCTGGATTGGGCATGTCTCTCTCTGCTGCATGGGCATGTCTCTCTCTGCTATATGGGCATGTCTCTCTCTGCTACATGGGCATGTCTCTCTCTGCTACATGGGCATGTCTCTCTCTGCTACATGGGCATATCTCTCTCTGCTATATGGGCATGTCTCTTTGCTGGATTGGAATGTCTCTTTGCTGGATTGGAATGTCTCTTTGCTGGATTGGAATGTCTCTTTGCTGGATTGGAATGTCTCTTTGCTGGATTGGAATGTCTCTTTGCTGGATTGGAATGTCTCTTTGCTGGATTGGAATGTCTCTTTGCTGGATTGGAATGTCTCTTTGCTGGATTGGAATGTCTCTTTGCTGAATATACAGTATATGGATGTAAATTTTCTGTCCAATTCATATTGCCCGATGCCCTGGACATGCAATTTCGGGCACCTATCTTTTTCTTAACTGGCTCCTAGATTCAAAGCAAATTTGTCAAACCCTGACATGTACACATTTCTGGTAGCTGCAGCCAGGGATGTTCAAGGAACCTAATGCAATATGACAACCTGGAGAACAGTGATTGATTGGCTGATTATTTCAGAGATCTGCACTAACATGCAAGTAAAATTTTTAGTCATTCCCTGCAACAGGAATTTCATTTTTTGTGAGATACTCCCAAAGGGTTAACCAACTTCTACAGGGATGCAGAAATTGCAGCTTTCCTAATTAAAAACACTGAACGTGCGCCAGCTAGTTATAATGAACACACATCCACCTATTCAAGAACGGAAGGAATAGGTGAAAACAAAAAATTCTTCAGCACAAAAAGGAGGTGAGATTTTGCAACAAAGTTTGTTAAAATCTTTGTAATGTACATAGATCACCCAGAGGGGATTGTCTTTTTTTTACTAGCTTCTCAACAAAAGTGGAGCTACACTTTAAGAAAACCTGCAGTTAAAGAAATATGTTTGGTGCCATTCCAACCCCTTCCTTAAAATACCGATACACCCAAACTACCCCCTGTAAGGTAAAGTGTTATCTGGAAGAGGAGGAACCTCAGCTTCTGTATAGAAAAACAAAATACAAAATGTTCAAGATCATCATTAAATCACACAAATAATAACCTCATCAAGGTGTTTATTTCATAGGAAACTGTGTAAATAAAAATTTGCTATAGTCCTCCAATTAGAATTTACCATCAGTATCACTATCACAGTTAAACTGTATGTAAACCCTACAAATTAATTTCTCTTATTTGTCTGTTTGGTCTGTTAAACGCACCACTGAAAAGTATTTGTTATATATGGTCAATAAGAGGGAAAAATATCTGTTAATCATTAGCTTGAAGTGATACTCTTCAGAGTAAACCTAAAGCTCCACATACAAGAGCCTACTCTGACCGCCGGAAAACCGCAGCAAAACGCGGTAATACCTGCTTAGGGTCCCGCAATTTTGCCGCATTTTGCATTTTCCAGTGGCCAAAACATTCCCATCCTGAACACGATTCTTCTGCATTCAGAAGAGAGACATTTAGCCTCACCTAAACACAGAAGCTCCTAAACGCTGCTAAAAGCCTATATGTACATGGACACAGGCTTTTATGGAGTTGAGTTTAGGAGCTTTGGCAAAAAAAATGCTAAAAGCTCCTAAACTCGAGTTTAAGAGCAGCAGTGTACATGATGTCTAATGCTCCCTGACAATAATCCTTTGTAAAATAAACAATTTCTATATCCCTAAACCTCCCTCTAACCCCAACCATAAGACTTACCCTTCCTGAAACCCTAATATTAACCAATTTGTAAGATCAACCCTAACCCTGACATGTAACCCCAACGTTCACACTAACCTCTCTATATCCCAAATCCTCACAGTGACGCCTCCCTGTAACATAGTTAGTCTGGTTGAAAAAAGACAAAAGTCCATCCAATTCAACCATTAAAAAAAAAAAAAAAAAAAAATTATAATCCTATACCCACAGTTGATCCAGAGGAAAGAAAAAAAAACCCAGCAAAGCATGATCCAATTTGCTCCTGCAGGGGAAAAAATTAATTCCTGATCCCCCGAGAAGCAATCGGATATTCCCTGGATCAAAGAGAGCCCAATCCAGCAGAGACATCCCCATATATTTGTTTATTGCTTCACAGGTGCACTCAATTTTACGGCTTTACATGTTTGGCATCCATTTACTTGATGCAACCTCATCATTATATTGTTACGTGGTTAGTCTGGCTGAAAAAAAAAAATAAAAGTCCACCCGGGTTCAACCAACCAAAAAATAAAAGTTAGAACCCTATACCCACAGTTTATCCAGAGGAAAGCAAAAAAAAAAAAACACAGCAAAGCATGATCCAATTTGCTCATGCAGGGAAAAAAATTCCTTCCTGATCCCCGAGAGGCAATCGGATATTGCCTGGATCCACATTACCTATAAATACCTATAGTTAACAATGAGACAAAAATAAATTTTCACACAAATCCTCCTTATGCGTATTCATACTAAGGCCCCTTTCACACAGGTGGGCTCTGCTAGTGGATCTGCCTACTCAGCGGGGGATCTGTCTGCTGATCCCTGCTGAGCAAGCGGATGAGAGGTCCGTATCCACTTGGTTTATGCAGGGTGGACATGGACACATCCCGCTTTCCTCTATGGGTGATAGGATGTAAATTGACCACCTCTCCGTTTACATCCGATGGTGCTCCGATCTGATAGAGGGATAGGGAGCAGATCCCCGTTCGTCTGATTTTTGCAGATCGGATGCAGGCAGGTGTAAACTGACTCATGTCCGTTTACATTGGCCGCTCCATAGAGGGCAATGGATGGTTTGATCGGGTCTGCCTGAAAAAACAGACAGGCGGACCCTATTGGTGAAAGGGGCCATATTCTCCCTACGACCCCCAAAATTAAACCCCACATTAACCCTCCAATGTGTGCTATTGCCTTGTCCATGGTTCAAGAATCTAGCTCTACCAATGAGAACATTAGCTACTAATTACAACAGTAGATCGGTGGTATCTGTTCTAAATCCAGACAGTACCTACATTTGGCCATGGGTTTGTAGGATTTATTTTAGATGATTATGCTGCTTTAGATCCAGGACCACCAATTTTATAGTTGGTGAAATTTCTGGAGTATACCTTTAGAAAATGTAAAGTTTACAGAATGCTTACTTTATTTTTCATCATCCACTTCACAAAGTAGTTATCATAAGGCAAAGTGTTGTCAGGGGGAGGAGGAACCTCAGCTTCTGCAGAGAAAAATATGAAAATGTTCAACGACATAATTATTCACACATCTAAATAACCCCATCCAGGGTTTTAAGTCAGAGTATGCAGTGCAAATAAAAAATGTACTATGGTCCTCAACCTCAAAGTAGAATTTAGTATCTCTATCACCGCTGAAGTGTATGGAAACCCTACCAATTACAATTACATTCTCAAATTTGCTCCATTGTCAGGGTTTTACTACACAACATTGTACACCGATCAGCCACTACTTTATGACCACTGACCAGTTAACTGAATAATGATGATTATCTCATTACAATGGAATCTGAAGGTCAGAGGGATGTATTAGGCAGCAAGTAAATATGATGTTGATGTATTAAAACAGCAGAAAAAATGGGCATCGCAGTTTGCTGTATATGGGGCCGCGTAGCCATGGACCATTCAGGGTGTCTACGCTGACCTGTGTCCACAGCTGTGTCCACAGCCAAAAGTGTCTACAATGGGCACGTGACCATCTGAAGAGTTGACTTTGCCACCAAATTCTCCACACCTCAATCCATCCAGCATCTGTGGGATGTGCTGGAAAAATACCTCCGATCCATGGAGGCCACACCTCACAACTTACAGGACTTAAAGGATCTGCTACAGGCGTCTTGGTGCCAGACACCACAGCATACCTTCAGAGTTCTAGTGGCATCCAGCCGTCGGCAAGTCAGGGCTGCTTTGGTGGCAAAAGTGGGACCAACTCCACTTTAAGTGGGTGGTCATAAAGTTATGGCTGATCAGTATATATGTTCAATAAAAGACAAAAAAAAAAAACTGTTAATCCTGCCACAACTCTTGTGAGCTGAAAGCCTCCTGTGCTCTTTGGCTCTGCTAAACTGTTTATCAGTTAGAATTGTTCACAGTTTTCTCCGTGAACTACAGACCAACCCATATGTACGAAAAATATATTTCAAAAATAATCTTCCCAAATATATCGACATATATTTGAAATGCTACAATTTTGGCTATATTCAATATATTAAAAAAAATAAATAAATAATATATATACACACACATATACACACACACTGTATTTTGAAATACATTTTTATAACAAAATATATGAAAAATATTTTTAGAAATAGAAATACATTTCAAATATACTGTATGTCTTTAAAAATACAAAATCTACATTTTTGGAATGCAGTTACAAATATATGTAAAAATACATGTTAAAATTACTATGTTAAAAAAAATCTGAAGAATATATTTAAAAAATACATATTTTTAAAAATATATATTTTTCAATATATTCAGATTTTTTTTTTTTACATAAAAAAATAATTTCAACATACAGTATATATATATATATATATATATATACTGTATGTTGGAATATATTGAATATGGACAAAATTTTAGCATTTGAAATATATGTCGATATATTTGGGAAGAATAGTTTTATAATATATTTTACTTCCATGTGGGAACTTCCCCCATGTTATGCAGAAGAGGAGAGAGGGGGTGTTCTGCAGCCCTAACACACTTCCTGTCTCAGGGTGTCAACGCTCCTGTATAGATAAATTAATATGAGTGTTAGTCTCCATTGGACAGGAAGCGTGCTACTGGCAGGATCACCAATCTAACCACTTGCTGGCCGCAGCTCGTACAGGCACAATCATGTATCTGTACATCGGCAGTTATTTCTGGGATCCAAGATGTCAACGCCTTCCCAGCTAATGTCATTAGTACAGTGACAGTGCATAGTATATTTGATCACTGTATTAAATGTCACTGGTAAGGTCAGTGTCCATTAGTCTACCTCCCACTCAGTGTCCGTTAGTGTCAGATTGCCTGCTGCACTATCACAGTCCCACTATAAGTCGCTGGTCACCACCATTGCCAGTATTAAAAAAAATAAATAAAAATTCCAGTACATATACCATAGTTTGTAGGCACTAGATCAGGCATGTCCAAAGTCCGGCCCGCGGGCCATTTACGGCCCGGGGGTCGGTTTAATATGGCCCTCCAACAGCCCTCCCTGCTCTGTGTAATGTGGCCCTCCCTTCTATGGCAGACAGTCTTCTGCTTGAGAGCAGAGGGCAGTGCGCATGCCTGACTGCGGCGCGTTCTCCCTGGTCTGTGTAAATGCGGCTGTCGCACGGCCCTCCCTTCTGTGGCAGACAGTCTTCTGCTTGAGAGCAGTGCGCATGCGTGACTGCGCCGCGCTGGGAGCGACAGAGGGCGGTGACGTCAGGGCCGGGCTTCCAGCGTGAAGTGTGTTTCTCTTCCCCTCTCGGCTGCCGAGCAGAGACTTCAGCTCCAGCTACCTTTTTCACCCTTCACTTTAGTGCAGGTAAGTTTTTTTTTAATTTATTTTCAATACATTGGGAAAACTCAGCTGTCAGTTGATCTTACTGTTATGAAATGAAAAGTATGTCGTTTTGCAATTAACTTGGCATAAAATAATTTATTTGCATTTAATTGTAATGGTTCAAAGAATGTTCAGAAAAATGTTCGGCCCTCCACCATGTTCACTTCATCCAAAGCTGACAGGTAGGACTTTTATGACAGATGAGAACCTATTGGTCTCTTCAGTCATAAATCCTTCTCTCTGCCTGTCAGTGTTATGTAAACTGAGCTCACCGTAAATTTACGGCACCACTCTCTGCCATGATGATGCGCCCATGAGCAGCACTGATGATATTGCGATCCAGCCAGTCAAGTGACCAAAGAGTCCGAACCCGGAAGAAAGAACGGGTGAAGACTGAAGCACCCCAAACACCTGAGAAGGCCGATACCGCAGGACTGGAGGGGAACGTTTGGCAGGTAAGTCTGCCATAATGTTCTAATATGTTGTGCATACTATGACATTAGGACAAAGTTACCAGGGGCCATTTTTTTTTTTTTTTTTTTTAAGACCAGGTTTATTTCTACTTTTTGAAAAGTAGAGGCTGCATGAAAAATGTCTGAAACCCATAGCTATCTGTATTGTGCTGCAATCAAAACAACCAGAACCTCTGCTCTGCTACCTTTGTGGCTCATTGAAGCCCAAATACTGTGCACTGTATGTATAGGGCCGGGTGTCATTTTTGCCAAACATGGTGCCCAATACATTATGGCAATAAAGCACCATGTTCTTGGCATATGGATTTTAGTACGAAAAACATGTCAGGCCAACA